TGGGAGGGGGGGAGCATGGGCAGGGCCTTGGGAGAAGGGGGGGGGAGGGGGCAGGGCCGTGGGGCAGAGCGGGGATGGAGCAGCCACCAGGAAAAGGACAAGTCAGTGCCATGACTCCTAGGGTGTCCTGTGCACTGCCCCAGCTGTGTCAATGGAAGAATCCGGCTGTAGCCCTGGAGGAGGTGCTGCCGCCCAGGATAGCCAGCACCTTAGCGCCCTGGGCAGAGCCTCCATTTCACACGCTCACGGATATTAGACCAGAGAGGGGTGTCGCAGACTAACTGTGGATCTGCCACCGCTGGGGAGAGAGGAGGGGACAGAGCAGGGAAGCCAGAGAAAAGGCCTGAGAACCAGAGACAGGTGCTGTCTGCACTGGGGGGTCCGGCTGCAGCAGCACCAGCTGGCAGATAGAGTCGGGGCTGTGGCGTTCTCAGCACGTCCCCCGGTCCATGACAGTGGATCGGATGGCCAGTGTTCCAGCCCTGCAGAAGCAAGAGCCTCATGCCACGGCGCTGGGAGGTGCCAAGGTCTCTGGCCACAGGCCATTGGCAGATACTCACGTGGCATAGCCATAAACCGTGTTCCCCCAGGGCTCCAGCGGCTGCACCTGTGACAGCGCACACTGCGGGTTGTACCTAGGGGTGGGAGGATGGAACGGTGTGAACGGGGTGTAAGGGGAGTCACCCTCCTACACGCACAGCATGACCCCAACCCTGGGCACACGCAGAGCCAGTGCAGCCTAGGCAATAGAACCTACAGTCCTAGGGCTGGAAGAGACCTCAGGAGGTCACCAAGTCCAACCCCCTGCCCAAATCAGGACCAACCCCAACGATGGCGTTTGCTGAGCGACAGCAAAGCACTCGACAACCACATCACACCCCGGAGCCCTGGCAGAGTGTGTAGCAATGGCCACGGGGTCTTTTCCCCAGCCCAGCCTGGATCTGGGCTCTTCCTGCGTCCGGGGCTAAACAAAGGGGAACATGTCTGGCTGAAATCTGCAGGGTGGAGCGGAGGGTGCAGCAGAAAAGGTGCCACTGGTTCCTAGTGGCCCCCCGGGGCTACCGTGCTGGTAAGGATTGCTGGAGCGCACACCCCTGGCCTTCCCCAGGGAGCTGCGGTCCACAATCCGCCGCAATTCCCCATCACTCTGATCGGGCTGCTTTGCTGCCACCGCAGTGCCAAGTAGCTTGGGTGTGGCTAAGGAACGGGCCCGTCATTCCCAAGATCAGGTGGGGTGCGCCTACATTGCACCCGGAGTTCGAAATAAGCGACGCATTCTGAGCAACGCAAATTGCGTCGCTTATTTCCAGTTAATTTCGAAATAGCTTATTTCAAAATTTGGCGCTGTCTACACGGCGCTTATTCCAAAATAACCCGCTATTCCGAAACGTCCCTCACTCCTCGTGGAACGAGGGTTACAGGGCTGCCGGAATAGCGAGCCCGTTCTGTTTCGAAATAACGGACGCGCTCAAAAGACGCAGACTAGCTATTTTAGGATGCCCGCAATAGCGCTGCAGTGTAGCCGTGAAGGGCAGGAGGGCTGATCTGGTGCGAAAGGCCTGGCTTCCACCATCCTCGCATGGAGAATTAGCATTACGCTGTGTCTCTGGGCACTGAAGATACCAGTGCGTAGGGAGGGTCTCTGTCACTGAGGCCGTGTTTACACCACCAAAGTGGAGTCACTCCCCGTTTGCACATGTGGAACTGAGAGCCAGGCCCCACATGCCCCCCGCAGTGGCGTTATCAGCTCCATGGCCACTGAAGGGGAAGGTACAGAAGGCCCCATTTTACAGAGCCGGCAGCAGGCTGCGTTGGTAACTGGGGACCGGGAACCAGGAGGCCACTGGAGGGCAATGTGTGCCCGGCTGGCGCCCCCTTCCAGCCCCCCCAGAAGTGACAATGACAGGCATGAGGCACATGGCTAAATACAGTCAGTGAATGGACGGATTTATCTGCCCTCGGCTGCTCCAGACAAACACATGAGCGGCTTGTGGATTCCAGACCCGAAGGACAACAAGACGTCATACCCCAGAATAGGCTAGAGCCCTGCCAAGCGGCAGCGGGAGCCAGACGAACCCAGACCTGTCCATCCAAACCTGGTAGGAGAGTGGCACTAAACGAGGTAACCAGGCGGAGAGGGGCGGGATGCACATCACTGCCTCCAGCCCGGAGAGGGGGCTGCTCTGACCAGGCACCATCCAGCTTCCTGGGCCAACATCCAGGATCTCCCCTGGAGGGAGTGCGATGGCTCCTAGCCCTGCTGTCCCTGGTTGGAGGGGCGAGGGGGGGAGGAGAACAGGGCCTACCACTTCCTGCAGGTGTCCAGCAGGATGAGGTTGAGGGCCGTCTGCCGCTGCTGCATCTTCTGGAGGATCCTCTGCACGCTGATGCAATTCTCGGGGGCATAGGGCTGCGGGGCATCAATGGGGACCATGTAGTTTCTCCCAGAATGTTCATATCCGTGCCCGGCGTAGTAGAATACGGCTGCAAACCAGGAAGAAGAAAGGGAGAGTTACGCGGGGAGGAGAGGCATGGAAAACACAGGGCGTTGGTTGTTATCCAAGCAACTGCTCCAAGGGCCAGCAAGCCTCCCTCCCCCCATTGTGTAGTGGCTGTGTTACACACGGACCGCAGGGTCCTGCGTCAGGAGGAGGACTTGCCCTTGAGGGTCAAGTCAAGATGGGAGACATCTGAGATCTGTCCCCTAGTTTTGAAATGCAATGTTGTCAACCCTAGGAACCGCTAGAGAGGCTGCTCCAACTGGAACCGAATCCATTAGTCCCGACTCTTCACAAATAGCTGTGGAGCCCACTGGGACATTCAGTGTCACCCCCCTCTTCCTCGTCTCAGTACAGTTGTGGCATGTCACGTGAGGTGTCAGGGGAAAGGCTCTGACCGGCTGGACATTGTGTTTCTCTAAATCCAATGGTGAGTATTGCATATGAAACAGTCAGAGCTCTGTTGTATGGTTTTCACTGAACTGTGTGGTGAGTTTGGGAGGGGCTGAGATACTAGCTCTGCAGAGACAACGACCAGGGAGGTACCCAACACCCGGGTGTAGTGCCCAGCAAGGGAGCCACAATGCAATGACTTGCCTGCATGAGGCCACCCCAAGGGAACTGCTCAGCCTTGCCTGAGGAAACTCAGCAAACCCCACCAGACATGCCTGGACTGGAATTCTCCTAGCACATGGTCTAAGCCAAACACAGGGGCCCATGCTTGGCCTTTCTCCTGCCCCCACTTGCGCTGCAAGCAACAAAGCCTGCAGACTCCCACAGAGGAGGCTGGCCCAGGTTTAAGGCCCAACCCTGAGGCTACGTCTAGACTGGCATGATTTTGCGCAAATGCTTTTAACGGAAAAGTTTTTCCATTAAAAGCACTTGCGCAAAAGAGCATCTAGATTGGCACGGACGCTTTTGCGCAAAAGCATCCGTGGCCAGTCTAGACGCGATTTTGCGCAAGAAAGCCCTGATTGCTATTTTCGCCATTGGGGCTTTTTTGTGCAAAACAGTTCTTCCCTGGCTACACTGGCCCTCTTGCGCAAAAATATTTGCGCAAGAGGGCTTATCCCTGAATGGGAGCATCATAGTATTTGCGCAAGAACACTGACAATCTTACATTAGATCATCAGTGTTCTTGTGCAAATTCAAGCGGCCAGTGTAGATAGCTGGCAAGTTTTTGCGCAAAAGCAAATGCTTTTGCACAAAATCTTGCCAGTCTAGACGCAGCCTCCATGTGTATTAAGGACGGCAATATGCAGTAGGGTGAGAGAAACTGCTCAGTCTAGTTGCTGCCCAGTCTAATAGGGCTGGGGTTTAGACTGTGTGTTTATATTTTCTTTTCTTTTGGTACCAAGCTCTGACTTTTTGCCTGTCGTGTATAGTCGTTAGCATCTATCTTTTTAGTCAACAAACTTGTTTTGCTGGTTACAGGGTTTGGTAAATTAGCTCAGGGGTTTTGCAAAGGCTGGCCTATGTCCGCTTTCCATTGATGAAGTGGTGAAGCAATTAATAAACGAAGTGGTGAATGCCGGAGGTACAGAGCTGGGGGGCTCTGATTGGTGCCGCTCTGTGCGACCCATGCGTGGCTTTGAGAGTACTCCTGCAATCCAGCTGGATATGGGGCTCCACATGCCGTGTGCAGAGTGATAACAGCACCCGGAGGGCTTTGCTGTTAGTTGTTGGCAAGGCATTGGGAGAGTCAGCCTGAGCTGGGGAGAGTTTCATGGGGCAACCTGGGGGTCCTGTCACACCCACCAGGCAAGCGCCTCTCCATTCCTCTCCAATGGCTGCGCCACAGAGAAGATAAAAGCCTTTTACTGCTCCCTCTTACTCCATTCGCTCTAGAGAAGGAGGGCTGGGCTTTGGCTCTCAGTATCCCAACCCTGCTGAGGAAGGGCCACAGGATGGAATTTTTGTTTTCAATTTTTAGGTTTTTTTTAAAAACACCTAAGAAATTCTGTAACGCTTGGATTGAAAGCACATTATTAAGGTTTGGCGAGACAAACACTGAAAAGCTAGGAAATGCCAGGAGACTCATGATGCCTGTGTAACCTTAATTCACCTCCCCTGTGCACGTGTATTACGCTACAGTCTATCATGACACACTCACATACAATGTTTTCCACAAGATCCCTCTGAAACTTTCCTGTGCCAGAGCAGCCGGGGTGGCCAATAGGGATCCTGGCTGTACTGGGGTGGGCCGGCGAGATCCTGGCCCCGGCCGCACCAGAGTGGTCAGGCCACACGGAAGTGACCCAGGTGGGACTCTGGCCATGCTGGAGTGGGGCAGGCGGGGCATTGTCTGCACTGCACCATCAGGCAAGACCTGCCTGCCAACGGTTAAACGGTATAGTTTTATCTCTTTAACCAGTTAACTATTGTGATGGTTATTCACACCCCTTCTGTAATCCAGCCCCTATACATACGCATGTAAAAACAGAACCCCCAAACTTGTGATTTTAAGCAAGAAATACCTTTTCATGCGACCCAAGTGTGGCCGAGTCCCTGGAGGCTACATAGCCTAGTGGCCCTCCTTTCCCCACTTCCTCAAGTTAAAGTCCAACCTTTCTCCCAGATTTTGTGTGGGGAAAAAAAATGTGGTTCAAAGACAAACTGCTGAGCACCCAAACATAAAGGGGAAGCTACAGGCATCTGTTTGTAAAACAGGAAGTGCCCTTCTCTGGGCAGGGCAGCGTGTACAGTCTTATCTCTTACCACAGTTCGCTATCTTTGCCTTTCTGAAATTATCTGGGAGCTGGGATGGCTTTCGGGTGGCTGAGATAAAGCCTGTGGACTGGCCAATGACTCAAACATCTCAAAATATCTCCGCTCCGGCTGACTGACAGATTGGCTAGATTTTTCGGTCTGTGGATTTTCCAAGCCCAGAGTCAGTGGAACGGGGAGATTCCTCGTTTGCAACACGGAGTCCTAATTAGACACCACTGGGTGACGCCAGTCACCACAGAAGAGGAGGCTCCATTCTGACCCTCCATTCTGACCCTGAGAGCAGTTTCAAGCAGGAGGAACCAGCTAGGTTCCCATCTTCAAAAACAGAAGCCCTGATGCTGCTGGTAATGTGCTTCTGGCTTCCCCTGGATGCTGGTCTCGTCGAGTTCTGTAACGGGCCCGCACCTGCCCAAGAAAGATGGGTTTTCTCCATCCCTCCTGGCAGGCCACCCAGGAATATGAATCCAGCAACAGCTTAGATTCAACCACTACAAGCAACTGTCCTCTAAGAGCCAACATGAATCACTGGAGCCCCGCAAGGCCACTGGCTGGTCTGTCCAGACACACACCGGCTTTCTAAGCCTGGCTGAAAACCACCAGTTGTGAAATCATCCAACATGGGGATCCACCTTCTGGGCCTTGTTTCAGTTCACATTTTCATTGGCGGGACGCCTCTACCTCCGCATTCGCACACTTGTTTTGAAACCCCAGCAGATGGTCAGTAGTGAGCAGCATGTGGGGGCCTGTCTGCGAATGGAGCCTACAGAATAGTTCCTCAAATCCCGACCAAGCCCAGGTGAAACCACCGCTGCCTCATGCAATGCACGGCACGGCACGGGCAGGCTCCGGGAACGAGGCTGCGCCTCAATGTTTCTTTTCTCATCCGCATTTCACAAGGCCCCCGCTTTATGTGCTGCACACCCTGCACTGAAAACGGGGTGGCAAGTTGCTTCATGGGTCTTTCTGAGGTGCGCATCGCCATAGCGACAGGATCACACACATGAATCAATTTATCTCCCCTGCCCTCACAGGAGAGACCAGAGCATGAATTCACACAGGAGGCACTGAGGATCAGAGGGGCTAAAGCCAAACTTGCCCCAAGTGCCCACTAAGTCTGGGTTTCCAGCCTGAGACACCGAAGGGCTGCCTTTCCCGAGGTCGTCGCATTTCTGTAGCACGTCCTAGGTTTAAGGAGCAACCCCAATTGACTTCCATTGCCGGGGACAGATGACCATTTCGCAGGGCCCAGGGCAGCATAATTTCACGGGGCCCCCCTTTGCCACGGCACATACACGGGGCTTCTTGAAGCATGGGGCCCGGGGCGGCCAACCCGCTCGCTCTGCCCTATACCCGCCCCTATCCATTGCAGTTGTGAGTGACCAGCACTTCTGCAAACCAGAAGCCAAGTGAGTTGGGCACCAGAGAAGGGGGAAATGACAGTGTCCACCTGTGATAGCTGGGGGTTAAATGAGAGTCCCTAGCCTCACGCTGGAGCTCTGTGGCAGAGCCAGAAAGAGAGCCCAGTTCTTCGGGACAAGTTGCACCCTAGCTACCTTCACTGCCCTCCTTCCAACTTCTGCAACAAATGAGGTTGAGATTCTACAGTCAACAGCCTCCTTCACGACTCAGCCCTGATTCATCCCTGAGCAGCTCCAAGCTGCTGCGAGTGAGGCTAGGTTCCTGGGGAACAGTCTGTGAGGCCGTGTCTACACTGGGCCACTTATTCCGGAAAATCAGCTGCTTTTCCAGAATAAGCTGCGAGCTGTCTACACTGGCCCTTGAATTTCCGGAAAAGCAATGACGCTCTACTGTACAAAATCAACCGCTATTCCGGAAAAACTATTCTGCTCCCGCTCGGGCATAAGTCCTTATTCCGGAACACTGTTCCGGAAAAGGGCCAGTGTAGACAGCCCAGTAGTCTTTTCCGGAAAAAAGCCCCAATCGCAAAAATGGCGATCGGGGCTCTTTTCTGGAAAAGCGTGTCTACATTGGCCACAGACGCTTTTCCGGAAAAAGGGCTTTTCCGGAAAAGCAGCCTGCCAATGTAGATGCTCCCTTTCCGGAAAAACTGAAAACGGAATAGTATTCCGTTTTAAGCAGTTCTGGAAATTCATGCCAGTGTAGACACAGCCTGAGCGTGTAATTAGATGCTGTATCGTCCTGCACACTCACAAGGGCGCTGAGTTCATGGATTCCAAGGCCAGAGGGGACCACTGGGATCATCTTAGTCTGACTGCCTGGATGGCACGGCGGAGGGGGCTTCCCCCAAACGGTTCCTTGAGCATCGCTGGTGCGCTCTTTGGAGGCATTTCTTAAATGTCATTTCCCGGGTGTGTTTTAAGGACAAAAAGGCAAAAGCAAATTCTGTTTCACGCAAATGTCACAATCGCCACTGCTGTGTAATGTCCGCAGGGTTTGCTACAGCAATTCTCAACAGAGTGGGAGGACTTGAGGTAAAGAGCTTCAGTGGCAGAGGCCTGTTCTAAAAAAAGTGAACCGGTCCCTAGTGGGGGAAGCGTGACGCACGGGAACAGTGGGTTAAGTACGCCTGCTGAGCCGCGGTTTGCCAGCAGTCTAGCCAAGCCCAAAGCTCCGGTGAGGAGGTGGGGTTACAATATGCGAGAGCTGGTTCTGCCCCCAGCTCACGTAATGGCTCATGTAGAGGAGGCATAGCTTCAGACCAAGGTTCCTTAGTGGTTCGCATGAAGACTGTGTCTCTGGGTGTTCCTGTGCGCTGCAGGTTTAGCAAGCTGGTAGGATACGGGGTTCGCTGTTGCAGAGGACCAGGCGTGACCTCGCCTAACCGCCTGGACCACGGACACAGAGAAATGCAGCCACTGGTGACCAGAGACCCACCTACCCCTTTCTGGAAGCCAGCTGGTTCTGGCCAGGGGAGGCCAAAGGGCTGAAGAGAGGTCCTGGTGATCTCTTTGCCCAGGCAAGGCAGAGGAGGGGTGATGTAGGATGGCCGGATGGGAGGAGGTGACAAAGAGCAGCCTGAGCCCTCTGGACTTCCACAGACTCGGCTGAACAGGGCTGGGACTAGGTTCAAGGGCCACGAGAACTCCCTGGGCTGTGTTCAGAGGTTCAATAAACCCTTGTTTTGCCCTGGCTGAGGGTCCCTGCAGGCTGGAGATTGGGGGTGCATTGCTCCCTCTGGCTCTGGAGACCCCCGGGGTCCAGAGCAAGTGCACTTCCCGAGGGGGCTCCTGGAGAGAGACAGACATGCTGGAGGCTCAGAGATGCAGCCCCCAGGGGGCAGTGAA